AGAGATCAATTTTTAAGTAATCCAGAAGCAAATTTGAATTGGTTTATGCAAAGGAAATTGCCTCCACACTTGTTTGCTTGTGTGCAATACTTGGGTGATGTATATGCTCTTCTTTTTTCCAGTTGAATCAGCAAGAATTTATCTCAATGATTTAGTAAATGAATTCCTAGTGCTTACGCAATTGCAATTTGGGGATCAGCTAGATAGTATCTAATCAAGATTTTCTACCACACCATATAGTGCTTTGACCTCAACATTTACTCTGTATTCACATATGTTCATTTGTTATCCGATGGACTGTAAAAAATGTTGCGTGTCAAGGCACATTAAAGTTAATTTTCGGTAGGATTTGATAATTACCTGTCTGTTAATAGTAACGGTAATGGAAACTCCAGTGCAGGTAAAATGACACGGTTACAGTACGATTTTATTTCATTTCTGCCCACAATTAATCATTTTACTTAACTGTCGTTTGCATCAGAGCAGCTATTTAATTAAACTTGCAGTCGATGCTGTGTAATTCCTGTCGGCGGCACATGAAGTTTGTGTCACAACAAGAAATTGTCTACTTTAATAAATACTTGGCACCTGTATGTGTCTTGGCTTTATTCTTGTATGTGATACACATTTTGCTACTGCTAACTAGGAATTTGACTGCGTTTGCCAAGACCGCAGAGCAAATGCCTTTCTGGAGTGTACCACATGACATTTGTCATTTTGTTAGGTCTTAAGTCTGGTATACAACTTATTCAACATACAGAGAAACGGAGAAATCTTTATGTTGGCTGTACACTTCCTGATTTAGCGTTCATCATCAGCACACAACCCTTCCTCTGCTACCTTAGGTGAAAATGCTAGGGCCACCCCTGCACGGGAGTGTATTGACATTATGTGCATGGGTGTTTGTGGAGACACACACACGGCTTACTAGCACACACAAGGGTAGCTCCATAGGACACTGCAAGGGGAAGGATCCCCCCTAAAACAGGATATTGGGACATGATTCTGCAGGAAACAAACTTCAAAACATCAAGAAGCAGCCTCCATTGTAAGTGATTTCATCAGCATATGAAATAGCTCAAAAACCTTTTGACTTTAATGTCCCTTTTTAATGAAGGTGTTTGTTAGTGCTTTACTGTGGACTACTAAGAGGTGATATCTGGAAACAGGCCATGAGCATTTCATGCCTAACGTATTCGAGCTCCTGTACTAGCAGAACGCTACATACTAGAATGTTTCTAGGAATGAATAACTCACTTAAAAAGAATTCAATGAACTGGAAATGATCAACTGTTATGAATTATACTGCACAATGCAGTGCAGTATAATTCTGCCACGTTGTCGCAGAATTTATTTTTACCGGTTAAATCAAATCTGTAGCTAAAATCAGTGTATTAAAGGTGTCCCTCAATGAAGATGGTAAATACCCACCATTCCTTTTGCACACCTCTAATCATCACCTGAGGCCCTGTTCACACTGGGGCATCGCGGGAAAACCCGTTCCTGTATGTTTGCGGGAGTTTCCCACATTCGGCGCGCGTCCTCATTCATTCCCACTGGGTTGCTGAACATGCGCCAAACGCAAATCTGGCATGATGCGTTCTGCGTTTACCCCCCGCACAAATGCACAGGGAAAACCCGCATTTGCTCTGCCACATTTGGGGAGCCATTACCTAGTAATGGCAATGCAAACACGTTCCGGGTTTGTGCACGCATCATGAATGCGCATTGAAGTGTGCATGTTCGTGTGTGTTTCATGCGCGATCACAAAGCAGCTAATTTGGGGAGTATTAGATTTCATGTCCCCCCCAGAGTGTTGAGTGGTTCCTCCTGCCGATATATGTATCAATGTTGTGTCTTGTATCCTGGATATCTTGGTGAAGAGTTTTCAAGCTCTTTTTCAGGGAGAGATGTATTTATTATCTCCCTTGCAGGGCAATTTGTTCTTTACAGTGTAACTTTAGTGACATAGTAGTCCAAGGTACATGTTTGTGTCACTCACAGTATACTTGCATCCTGTGTACCAACATTTGGATTGGCTGAGCGAAGCTGGGGCGGTTCACTCGTTGCCGTTTGCCCCTATTCTCATAGGGTCCAAACGTCAGTGAGTGAATAGCGTGGTAGCGAACAGAATTAAAAAAAAAATGGAAACAAAATTTTTATAAATGTAAAAAAAGGAAAGTTAGGAGGGACCTCTATTTAAAAAAATAGAAATGCATGGGGTTCCCCCCAACAGTCATACCAGGCCCTTTAGGTTTTTGCATATATAAGCACTGGGAGAGTGCTTTTCCAGGGTCCCGCCATGCTGATGGGGACAAGGGTGCCCCCCTCCTTGTGAATGGGTTTTCACTAAAGGGTTAAATAAAATAAAAACACAACAGAGGATTTTGACAAGGCCTTTTATTGTATAAAAAAAAAAAAAACTGATCCCACAACGTAATCCCAAGGTCAATCACGACGTCCAGCATTGTCCACGACGACTATGACTCTGCGAAATTAAAAAAAACCTGACGCTGCCGACCTGACCACAGGCTATGGACTCCCGCCGCAGAATAAAGAATCTGACGGATGCCGGCAAAATATAAACACCCAGTTGTTGTCATGTAAAGAAAGCCCAGTGTCCTTGAGGAAGCTGGGCTGTCATTGAATGACAACAACTTGACGGAGCCAGCCGTGACATCACGGTCACTACGTCTCAGCCGAGCTGAAGCATATGCGTTTGTCTCGGCTGAGCCGTTCGGCTGCTGTACTGAACCGAACAGACTGAACCGAAGGGCTCCGGTGGCCGAAGGATCAGCCGAATCTACGGCTGGATCCTTTTGGCTCTTTAGTGAATAACCCTCTATATAAATATTAGTATGTATGTAACCATCGCAGCACTGTGAAGGGCAGGTGCAGACAGGCACGGAACCCACTCGCACTCCTGTAGCAGATGATGGAAGTCTGAAAAGGAGGGTCGCACACTGCTCTTATCATCCACAAGAAACTTTATTGGAGACTGCTCAGTCAGAACCATAAAGTTTCTTGTGGACGATACCAACAGTGTGTGGCCCTCCTTTTCAGCTGGCATCAAATTATATTATTTTAATAATTGTAAGCAGATGTCCAGAGGACCCCCACCCCACCCCACTATCATAAGTCAAGACTTACATCACAGTGCACCCCCCTTACCTTGTGCTGCTGCCAGGAGGGAGCTGAGGCCAAGCTGGGAAGCAGAAACTGCAGGGTCTGGAGGAGGACCGGAGGAGGGCTGGAGTCTGCTGAATGCTGAGACCAGGGGAGGTGGAGACGAGAGGCGCAGGATCTGTAGGAGGACTTTTGTCCTACTTTCTGCTGTGGACTGCTAAGACAAGGTGGGGGCAGAGACAAGACAAGGGGGGTGCCGCAGCTGCCGGAAAGGTGCGCAGGCCACATGAAATGGCCTGGCGGGTCGGATTTGGCCTGCAGGCCTTGTGTTTCACACATGTGCCATAAGGGATTTGCACATTCGATGGGTCCTGGTCAACCTCAAAATATGTTCCCAGGATTGGAGGCTTCAGCTCACCCAAGTCTCTCAAAAGCCTCCGTGTTCTAGAACCCTGACCAGGGTTTATCAGTGCTGGAGAAAACTGAAAAGCCAGTTTTCTTGCTCAGCAACGTGCATCCTGGAGCCTCTCAACCTGTATTGTTGAGAACCCCGGGTGCCCTATAGTAGATATCACAAAAGGCACAGGACTCTCTCGGTCTCCCGTATCTTATTTGTAAAAATGACAGTTGCTATGATTAAACTATTGGCCGCATATGCTAATTCACAACTAGCACCTTCATAGAGTATTTATAGCACTGTGGCAATGGCATACATTTTAGAACACGTGTCACATCGGTGCCTGCATTGCAGTCCAGTGCGATAGGAAACAATGCTGCAAGCACTATTTTTTCCGATCGGGGGTGGGGTTACTATGCGACCCAGTGCGTTCCAGCAGCTAATCGTGCTGAAACGCACTGTATATGGTGTGAACAAGCCCTGAAGCAGTTCTAGTTTTCACATATCCATGGTGGATAATACACAGCAGCTGAAGGCTGGGTAGCACACCTGAGTGCAGGGTTATACTACCCGTCAATCTCTGTGTTTTGTTAGGAATCTGAATATTGCAAGCAGCTTAAAGGCATTGTTTTGGCTAGAATGTAACTTTGACACATTCCCACAGTTGTATCTCCCAAATCCTATGATGCTGTGCTAAATATTCTTGTGTCACCTAGTATTCGCTCCTGGCTGGCACCTTAGCTTATTGCGTATTAGCAGAAGGACAACTAGGCCAGTGAGCCTGTATAGCTGATACAGCAGCTCCAAAGACCTGGAACAGGTGATGGATGATTGCTGAGAATAACATAGTCTGCTAATGTGCTCTGCTGCAAATCTCTGGGAACGTTTTTTTTTGGCAGGCTTTTCCACCACCAAGGACATATTTGATCCTAATCCAGAGCATGTATCAGAGATACAAACCCCTACCAGTGTGCATTCTTTGCACACATGTTCTATTTGTTGCTGCGGTATTAAACATCCTTGAATTCCAAGCACAGGTCCTATTTTTGTAATCTTGGCATGGTATATAACAAATTATTGGAATCTACAAATCTAAACCTAATGCTTGTGGTGTACATGAGATGGTGCTTGAATGCTGGGAATCAATTCAGAGTGTGCGCGCTAATATATCCAATTTTATTCTGATACACGGTATTAAAAGAGAAGTAAAGCAAATCCTTTTTTTGGCTTTACTTCTCTTTTGGGTTACAGGAGTATGTTTACTAGTGTCCTCCTGTGACCCAAGGTCAGCATATGGCGAGCTGCTGCATTTTGGTAGCTCATTTTCCTTCACTATACTTGTTACCAGATTCTTCTTATAATATTATGGAAATACAAATCTGTGCACATCAATATCTTTTCTTTTCATTAGAACTATAGCTGAACTGCTAATAAACATGCTGATATGTTTATTTGATTATCTGTTGATGTTTTGTAGCCTTTCAAACAATTCCCGGATTTTGAGTCTCCTGTCACAGCTGGAAAGAATCAACACCGAATCATCAGCCTTGGATCCTGATAACACCAGATTTGTCACAGCGAAAATCCTCCACTTGGCACAAACTCAAGGTACCCAGTTTGCGTAATTAAATTGCTTCCAATCATATTATTACAGCTATGTCTGCGGAATAATAAACATTCACAAATAAATTAAGGGGGAAAAAACAGAGCACGTGTTTACTATTTTTTTTTCTAGCGCATCACGAGTCATGCTCGGTAAATGGTGCTTTGTCAATAACTGATTCTTGAAATGCTGGTCCAGTTCTGTCCCCTTTTGCAGCACTGATTATATTTATTTAAACATTATTTATATTTGCTTTCTATTTTCCCTTGTACAGCAGATCTCTGACTGGGAGAGGCAGAATCAGCACTTTAGGCCAATCAGCATGCACCGACTGCTTTCCTACAGTATGGGCAAGCATGTAGAAAACCTTATCAATGTTGCCTATTCGACATGCTGAGGAGGTGATAGGGCAATATTGCTTATTTCCAGGAGAGAAAAGGGGCAGGGGGCTGTCTGAACAGAATATTACAACCTCTGTTGGCTAAAACAGGTTGCGTGTATGTATTTAACTGTAGGGCTGATATTCAGCTTTTAAGTTTTTATCTACATATATAATAGTCACAGCAGATATTTGCCACCTTTCTCCCTTACCCCCACCCCACTGATGGCACATCCCTCTGTAGCCACTTAACTCCCCCCCCCACCCGCCTCACGATAGATCCCTACCTAGTCGGCTCACCCCTTCCTTCCTCAGGACATTCCCTCCCAGCCACACCCCTATTTTCACAGAACATGCCCCTGGTTGCCCTTTCCCCCTTCTCTAGACTAACAGCAAATGTCCCCCTGGTTGCCTTGTTTGCTGTGTTCCCTCCTCCACACTGACCGCACATGCCCTTTAGTTGCCTTGTCCCCTCCTCCACACTCATAGCACATGCCCCTGGGTTGCCTTGTCCCCTCCTCCACACTCATAGCACATGCTCCCCTTGGTTTCCTTCTTTGCCTTAACCTCTCCTCCACACTAACAGCACATGCCGTCCTGGTTGCTTTGTTTGCCATGCTCCCCTGATTGCCTTGCCCCCTTCTCCATACTCACGGTACATGCCAGCCACCTCACCCCCTGATCAAAGCACATACCTCCTAGGCCTCATCTCATCATCCTCACTACGAAACACCGTGCATCACTATGGTCACAGTACATCCCTCTTTGGCCCTCTCATCTTCTGGTCACAGTACATCACTCCCTGCATCCGATACTAACCCCCCTCCCCACACAGCTCATGCCTCCCAGAAATTCAGCATAAATACCTATTCACAGTTCTTAATTTGCTGTTGCAATACCCTTCTTAGCTCCCTCAGTACAAACTACTCCTCCTCGCCACAAGTGTTACCTGTGCCGACTGCCTGTCTGCAGACATCTCCATACTACACTCTGCTGAGCTCCATACTTGAAGTGTCCCCTCTACTACTGCAAGACCCCTATCACACTTGGCTACAACAAAATAAAGTTTTTTTCAGCACTGATTTGAGCTGAGCGACTTTGAGTGACATTGAGCTACAGTGCACATTTTGTAGCGCTTCTTTTGGCAGTCTATCAAAGTCTATTGGGGCCAATCAGGAAGCCGGGCGCCGTCTAATGACGCGACGCCCTGCTTTCTGATTGGCCGGGAGGCCGGCTCCATGCTCTCTTGTCAGGAGATGACGAGGGAGCATGAAGCCAGCTTCCCGGCCAATCAGAAAGCAGGGCGTCGCGTCATTAGACGGCGCCCGGCTTCCTGATTGGATGGCTCCGGCTGGGCTGGGTACCGGACGAAGGCCGCGTTCTCGCTGGAGAGGCCCCGGGGTTGACAGGCTGCACATACTAAGGTAAGAGGGGAGTTGTTAATCAGGAAGCCAGGTGGTGAGTCATTACATGCCACCTGGCTTCCTGAATGGGACTTTGGTATCTGGGTAATTGGTATAAAAATTTATCGGTACTCGGTACCAAAATACCGGTATCGGTGCATCCCTAGAAATAACAAATGTATTATATGCCCGAATATACAAAAACTATCTCCGGGCATACACAAATTTGTTTTAAGATATTGGCCGCTTCCGTGTTCTGCGCATTGGCTTCAAACGGTAGAGCATTAAGGTCACTTTCACTCGTTTAAGTTTTGTTTTTAGGGCTTCTTTGCCCCCTTTTATTGATTCAAACACTCAAAGGTTACACAGGTTTACCCTCACAGAGGTTTTCCAACAGGTTATACAGACAGTACTTTGCAAAGGAAACAGATTCAGCCTCCTGGCTTTTACTTTCAGCGTCTGGCCATTTTGACCCACTGTTCCTCTATCTTTCTCTGTTTGTTTCTCTGTTTCTCTCACTGTCGTTTGTTGGACGAAATTCATTGCAGCAAAATGACATTAGGTAAAAAAACCTTTAGGTCTGGTAGGAATTTTAAGAGGGACCCCCCAAGTTGAAACAAATAAAAAGTGCGTAGGGTTCCCCCAAAATCCATACCAGGCCCTTGATCCGACCACTGGCCCGGCAGGGCAGGAAAGGGGGAGGGACATGGAGCGCCCCCCCTCCCTCCCTGCGCCTTACCAGGCCACGTGCCCTCAGGCACTGGGAGGGTGTCCCCGTGCCGATGGGAACAAGGGCCTCTTCCCCACAACCCTGACCCGGGTCAGGGTTGTGGGGGAAGAGGCCCTTGTCCCCATCGGCACACCCTCCCAATGCCGAGGGCGCTTGATCGCTTGTTTAAAGTCTTGCCAACGCTCTAGAGGGTTGAACAAGCGTTAAAAGGCGGTTCAAAGGACTTCAATGGAGGCATTATTCCAGCGGCAATGCCTGTAGATTGCAAAATACAATCTATTTTTTTCCGCAACGCTGACGCTCATTTATGAACTGTAGTGGGCGGTCGCTATTGTTTTATCACACATGGGCGCTAATAGGCGGCAGAGAGGCATTAAAAACGCTTCCCCAACGCCTTTTTTTGCCACACGTGTGAAAGAGTCCTTAGCACTGCAAGGTAGAATTGATAACCACTACGCCACTGCGGTCGCTCTCTCTAATGCGGTCTATCTCTTTTTCCCTCTGAGGCGTTCTCTTTGTGACATGGACCATCTCTCTCTCTGAGACAATGACTGTCGCTTTCTCTGAGACACGGACCATCTCTCTTCCTCTGACTGAGGTTGTCTTAGTCTGTTGATCCTTCCCGTTTCTGTTCTCCTTTAATAGCGGGCCCCGGCTCCCAATGTGTGCCATAGTTGTGACCCTCCCTTGTAAGCTAAATCAGCAGTGCAATCCAATCTGCGGCAGTCACTATCCCCTGCTGGGGATTACAAACTAGCTATGCTGACCATCTACCAAATGGCTTTGAACTGTCACTTTTGCTGGACAACTGTCAGCCGGTCACAGGGAGTGGAAAAATAATGGATCTGCCGGAAGGATCATCAGTTACAACTGTTCTAGGTGGGACTTAGAACACCAAACACTGCTACCGGTATGTAAAAGCAGACTGCATCATACATGTCATGTTTGGTTTTGCCCATAGATCTACTTTAAAGCCAGATGCAGCCAGACATCTAGTATTTTAGAGGGAGGAAAAATAAAAAATGTTCTATTTCTTTCAGTACTCGCTGTTATAGCTACATTCCCTTTTCCCTTACTAATGCTCCTAAAACGTAATGCTTCCTATAATATTCTATTTACAATAGGGAGGAGATATGTTGTGGATACATCTTCTTAAATACAATTCTCCTTCCCATTATAAACAGCAATGGCCTCTTACCTGATGTACATAATGTAAGACTCGTAATGGCCGTGGACAATGGTGAGGGTATAAGATGTTATAATGCCTCCAACGGTCCACAAGGCCCACACAATTGGCAAATAAGCCAAGCGGTTAACCTCCATACTGGAAATTAACTACGCAAAAAACGCACAAAACGCACAAAAGTCGCAAACTACAGACGAGCTTGCAACCAAACAATCTGCTCCAAAGAACAGACTGTGACAATATGAGCACGTTGGCTGCTTTTATAGGCTGGCATGTCTGTGATGTCATAGCTATTGATGCCTCAGCCCATCAATAGCTATGATGTCATAAGCTAGTGATGCCCCGCCCACTATTCCCAGAGCCAGCCAGCCATACCATATATGGTCAATGAAGATCACTGACAATGAGGTTGCAGTCACTGCCCAGGGATCGGGTAAAACTTGATTATCCATCAATATTATTTATTATATACAAGAGGGTTTTTATATTCTATCGTGTTTACCAAATGCATTTGAAAAAGAAATAAGGAACTACGTTTTTTGACTATAAACGAATCCTTAATATATTCTATCGTGTTTACCAAATGCATTTGAAAAAGAAATAAGGAACTAAGTTTTGACTATAAACGAATCCTTAGGGACATACAAGATATACTGATAAAGTGATACAAATGGAAAAAAAAAACTATAACTGCTCGGCTGTCTAATTATCATATATAATTATAAACATATAGGGAGGAATGTATCAAAATTGGAGCAAACAAGATCTGGGACAGCTGTACATGGAAACCAATCAGTTTCCATCTTTCATTCTCAAAGCTTAACTCAGCGGTAGCCAAACTCCTGCCCTCCAGCTGTGATGGAACTACAAATCCCATGAGGCATTGCAAGATTCTCAAAGCTACAGACATGACTCCCAGAGAGAGATGCATCATGGGATTTGTAGTTTCACCACAGCTGGAGGGCCG